GGTCACGACCAGTTAAAGCTAAAGTTCCATAAAAGAGCGTCCAATGAGGACAATCCTAGCCAACTTTCAACAAGCTAACCTCTTAAAGGAGATGATGCATTTGAATTACCTCTTAAGATTAGCAGCAGAACATCTACCAAAAATACAAGATAAGCAGAAGAGGGAAATTTTTTTTTGGTAAAGTGAATTACAGAATGCCACATTTATTGAGAATTTCACATAGCCTTTGAATACTACTAGGTTACTAATGAGATTTGCCCAATTGACATTCTACATGGGCATACTTGAAACCTATACGGATAAATTACTATTCTGTAAGTATCAACCTTCACTTTCTGCACCATATTTTTTCCCTACTTCACTAAACATTGACAGAGCAACAACTAGCAATCCTTTTCATTGCTCAAAATCAATCTCCTACAAGGCTACAACAAAATAACCTCTAACCAGGATAAGCTAAAGAAATCCTCAACAGGATGTTAGTTAAGGTATGTGACTGGCAAGACTAGTGTCAACATTTTACATATTACCAATCAATGTGAATGTTCAAAGAGGGCAGAAGATGGAAAACAAAACAATTGCACATGTTTAGCATGCGCGCGCGCACACATATATATAGACAAAGAGGAAGAATCCGTTTACTCCATGAGTAAGTCTATTTTAAACCCTAAACTTAGACTTATTCTGTTTAATAACTTATGTTCTATATCAAATTTTAATGATCCAACTGTTGAATTTAAAATTCTTCATACATAGATCAAGTTTGCAAATTTTTAAAAAATTTTAAAATCATTTAATACTTCATTTCATTAATTCAAATTGTCTGTTAGATAATCATAAAAACATTTTATACGTTAATTTGAATTAATGAAACAAAATATCAAATAGTTTTCAAATTTTTTTAAAATTTACAAACTTAATGCATTAAGAACTTTAAATTCAACTATTGAATCATTGAAATTTGATGTAAAACATAAATTATTGAACGAAATAAGTTTAGGTAGATTTATTCCTAAAAAAGATGGATCCTTTCTCATATATATATATATACACACACATTATATGCATGGAGACTCGTGCATCTGATCTATAAGCCTAAAGAAGTGTATGGTTCAATATCTACTTTAGCAAATAACTTCAAAATATATTACAGACCAAGACTGACATTAAAATATATGGAGACCCGTATCGAGGACGTAATATGAGCATACTCAGGGACACAAGCAGCTGATCAATGAATAAGTGAGACTAAGATTAAGATGTTGAATAGATCGCTTTGTGCCACCAATTGACAATTTGTCCAGTGTTGTTTAGATCTGTTCTCAATGGTGAAGTCACTTAATTTTGACAATACAAACCCGTTATTTCTTCTATTCTGACTGATTTGCTATTTCAGCCTCTTTGTTTGGCTACCCAGTTTCATTACGAACCAAAAGATTTATAAGAATTTCAATCATGTATATATTGAACTAACTCAAGTTCAGGGAAAATAAAAACAAACATATCTAAGGAAGATCCTTGCAGTTTAGAGGCTTGTCATTTTCTGAATTCTATAATTATAAGGCATATAAACAATAACAGATTCTTTGTCCTGGAAAAAATTAGTTAGAAGATAAAATAAAGGATAAACAATACAAGGAAGCAGAGGAGTGATCAAACACGCAAGCCACGCATCAAATAGAGTAATAGACTCGATGCCTTTGAACTGTTAAAAAATATTTCAGGAACTTCTAGATTTATGATGACTGAACTACCTGCCAAAAAATGGGCACTACATCCATGACATCAGGCACAAGAACCATGAAATAAGGTAATACAGGTGTACATTAAATAGTCATCTCTTTCTTAAAATAAAGCACTACGTATTTACTAGACAAATGGCTTTTAGTTCACATAATTTATGTTTCTAGAAGTTTGTCTTCATTTCAAAAATAAGATTAGACCGTTTCCCAACAAAACTTTTCAGTTTTCCTTCCATATTCAAGCAAGCACACATTAGAAACGATCAACCATGCTATGTGCTGTTTTCTGCCAGAAACTTGGGACAGATTCCATTTTCTTCTGACATGAGCATGCAGTATATACACTCAAGGCAGGACATTTGTGAACCATATTGAGTCTTAACAAACTAATTAAGCCAGTAACAAGACTCATCAATCAATTTAGCCAGCATGTAGCTTAAAATTTCCCGTTGACTAATTGTAACAAAACTCAGTCTTGGTGAAAGAAACCTTTTGTAAAAAGCATGAATTAGGATAAAATTTACCAAACCTGGTGAGAGTTGACACTAACAAAAATGTGAACTTTTAACTAAAAACATTCTCACGAACTCCTCTAATCTGTACAAACTATAAATTTATCAAACTATTGAAGGTGTCTTGAACTAATGAACTCCCTTTCAGAAATGATTCCTATACACTATGCCACTCACCGATTTCTGATCAAATAGCAAAATGTTTAGGAAATCCAACGATGAGTAGTAAGATAGCTTCTCTATCCTATAAATTAACTTTGAAATTTAAGTAAGCTTAAACTTAAATTTTAATATGATATCAAAATCTATCATAATAGATTTAATAGTTATTGGGTTTATGTTATTGACCCTATTGATCCTACAAATCTAACACTCAAGATATCCAATCTCAATGTGAGAAAAGTGTGTTGAAAATCTATTGACTAGTAATATCATCAAAACAATATACGTAAGCGAGAAACAATTCTCACTTTCTCAAAAGCATCACAAGTTTCGATATATGACTGTTAAAACTGGATACTAATTGACACAGACTTATTCTGAACACAAGTACACAGATTCTAGAAGACAAGTACTATTACAGGATAATATTGCGACAGTAAATGTCAAAAAGTACTAAACTAAAATTCTGTCAACAGATACCTTAACACAGATATTCAAAACTGTTAAACCCTATGTTGTACAAGATAAAATGTAGAGAGAATACTGACAGCCATGATGGAAAGAACCCATTGGTAACGAGACTGAGCATTCAAGCCAATGACAGTGCGAGATGGGTAGCGGATTATAGTGTAGAGAAGCCAAACGTTATAAATTCCCAACACAAACAAACCCAAAGGCACCATCACGTAGTCCAATTCCTGTACTTGCATGCTGCCTCTTCAATCTTCAAATTTTACCTTTCACCATTCACTACCTCAAACACCAACACTCCCTACTCCAAAATTATAATCTTATTGAAATTCAAATTTGTTACCCTTTCCTTTCACTCATGCCTACCTTTGCCTTTTACACCCCACCTTTCCACTCACAAAACCTTGTTTTTTTCCTCCAAAACAAGTAAAGATAAAGAGGCTCCCCCTTGCTCTTTCAACTAGTAAAGTCTGCAAAGAACTAAAATTAAATCCATCTTTTCTGACTGGGAAACAAAAGTGGGAAACATAAATTATTACCAACACTAATTGTGTAATCAATTCTTTCTCAAACCCCACAAAAAAAAAGTGTTATTTCCCTTTCCACCTCTCTCCACGTTGCCCAATTATGATACTATTGTGACTAAATTTGGCTAAAAAAAAATAAAAGTGAAGTTTTGAGCCTGAGTTGAGACGCAATTTCATGTGGTAGTTCTCTTCATACATGTCAGGTCCAATTCGAGAAATTCTTATATAGGCCACTAGCTTCGAATCTCGTGTCATTTTGTTCACACGAACCCCTTCAGTTTGTTGCTTTTGTTATCACTCTTTGGAAACGGTTGAAAACTGTTTCTCTTTGTGCTTTTTACGCAAAAGGCAATCTTCAAAGGTGAAGTTCTCAAAGGATCACTTCAATATCCAAAATAAGGCGTACATCGAGAGAATGCTGTTGATATCGTTTAATATTAGTGGTAGTGGGTATCTGCGCGATCAGAAACATTTCCTGAATTCTTGAAAAGTGAAGCTACTACTCATTCTTCCCTCGTAAACTACAAATTGGTGGTGAATTTTCGTTTATTAGTAAGAATTATAATGGCAGAAGCAGCAGCAAAGCTAATCTAGGACTTGTATATACTATCCCAACGTTTCATCACTAGTCTGATTCTAGTGGTTCAAATTCGTGGTGAAAATTGAGATTTAAGTAAGCCCTTTTTTATCAAGAGTTCACGAAGAAAATTTGGGTAAATATCTCACATATCACCAAGTTAAATATTTTTCTTATAGTTGCCTCTTGCGTGCGTGTGTTGGTAAAGAAAGATTGAGAATCAACGAAACTCAACAGCCATAATTAGTGCTGTTCTGCTGATGTTTACACAGCCTTTTTAGTTTAATTCTTGTCCAAGTATTACCACTTTAATTCCTGTCCAAGTATTATTTAACTTATCTAAGAGGCTCCAAGTGTGTGGATCACACATAGCCCTATGTCTAATCCCTGAATGATGTAAGTAAGCTCCAAATTAAGCATGAATCCTCATTGATATTGATAAAATATTACAATTAAGTAATTAACAATTGTCCTGTGTAGGTCATTTAAGTTAGGGTGCCAACAGAGTTTAATCTTTTTCAATAAATAAATAAATCACTTCTACACAACTGGGCATGGGCTGCTTTTTGTTTCTCTTTTTCTAAAAAATCATCTCAACATCTATTCTTCACTTTTTACTTCTCTTGTTTGTTGTTCCTTTTGATTCTTAGCTCAGTTTTAAATCATCTCTTATCTACGTATTTGGTTGTACATCTAGGTTTCTCGTTTAAGTAAGAATCGTGTTAAAATTAATGTAAAAGCAACTAATTGTTGCTTCCACATATCCATGTGTGGATCCAAACACGCAGGACATCGAATTGTAAGGACCATATTTTGCAGCGTAGAGGTTTGGTAAGAGGGAAGAAACTTAAGAAATGGAAGCTTCTATGGTTTGCTGTGACATGGTTTGTGTAGCCACACCTTCGCAGGATAAACCACAAGTCTTGTTTACGTAGCTTTCCGAGTATGAATCGTGACTAAACAAATTGTTGCTGCCGTTTTCATGATAAAAATTTGTACTAGAAGAGTGTGCAAAAATAATGGGAACAAATGTAAGTACTATGTAGCACATGGGTAAGTTCATCCCAAGGAAGTGAAACATAACTAACGCAAAGACAACAAAAATGAATTCCACTACCATTAACAAGAAACAAAAATTACTACCTAGTACTCTCAGTGAATCCTCCTCACATCCCTGGCACATGTTCATACTTCTCGATATGAACATACAAAATTGTTACATATATAATCAATTATACATGATCGGCCCCCGAGTTTTGTGACAAATTGTTACCAGATAAAGGATGATAATAATCATCAGGCTCCACAGCAGACTCTACATGAGTTCCTCTCTCCTTCTTGAATGAGTTACTGTGAAGATCACGCGTGATTTTAGCTGTTGTATCCAAGAAGAACAAAATAAGTGATGTCAAGCAGCAACATGCAAACATGGGTACGGGCCCATAAATCCACAGGAAGAATGGAAAAGACAAGTAAAATGCTCGAAGTCCAATGGACCAAGAATGACTCCCACGATTCAATGTCTTAGCAATGTATTCCATATACTCCCTTTTGTCTCTGGTTGTTGGTGCAGTGATTAAGAAACTGACATGGCAATAGTATCTTATAGACTGCACATTGCATAAAAATGCAACAAGAAAGCAAATGGTGACAGAAATATGTTTGATTGAAGAACGGCCATAGGGTACGAAAGAAGTGTCATCAGAACTCCACGTACTGTTGGCAAAAATACCAATAAGTGAACTGAGTGTGATGGCTGTTGTAGATAGAAGAGTAGATGCCATGATATTGTTACGAATAGTTTGAACTGCCAAAACCCCATTCTTCAAAGGATCCTGAAAATATAGCAATGGAATCAATACTGCTAGAACTTGTTTTCACAGCTTGTCAAACTGATTTTAGATGGCAAGCAGTCTGATGAGGAGTAGGAATGCGAGTAAAAAACAATGTTGCATGAAGTCAGAAAGGCTAACACAATCAGCAAGGATATTCAATCAAAGACAAGCCTTGTATCATATTCATATGTACCATACCAATGAGCAGTAAAAAATATGTTTTAAGGAAAGGACATTAACACAACAATGAGGTATTAGTTACCTAATGTTCAGGATGTGTTCTTTTTTTAATTGTACACTATCTTTCGATATAATAAAATTTAAGACAACGACAGGGCCTCAATATTGTTTAAATGAAATGCTCATAAAAGCGTGTGGTAGTAGTTGTTTGATGATTTGATTACACTATCAACTTTCAGCCATCTCTTGCCAGTTTCACAACTAGTGTTTGATCATGTCAAATTATGAGTGAGTGGAGTCAAACAAGAAAGCTTTCTGACCCTGAAAGTGGAAAGAGGAATGACAAAGAAACAAGGAAAACAAGAAGAACCAAAAGGTAAGAAACTTTGTGTATGCTTTGTTGGAGTGAAAAATAGGATGGAGGGAAACAATAAGTTTAAGGAAAATAATTGAGGCTTTATTTCTCTAAATACATTATTATTTTCCACAAGCCCAATATCACTCCGACCTCAATTATTTACCATGATGCATAAGCATTCAATGAATTACAACTTGGCACATGCTGCCAATATTAAAGTCCAAGATTTGCAAATATAAACCAAGAACTCGAGTTACCCTGTAGATCTTGTGTAAGAAACCCGTCACCTGTTTAACTAAAAAGAAATGAACAACACAAGCTTGGCACCTGGACATTACTACTCAAGGTTATCAATTTCTATGGGTTCTCAACCAGTAAGGAAAATAGCATATCAATCAAAACACTCAGTTTTGCTGTAAATAACCCTAATAGAAACTAGAGGAAGTATTCAGGCAAGTGCATAATACAAAAATGACACATTCAACACATTTAGTGTTACATTTAGATACTGATAAACACCACATGCGTGATTCATCCAACCAAACAGTTTCAATAGGCTGAAATTAATTCACTTTCAAAAGGCTATTCACTTGCTTCATTTAGATCATGAAAGAAGGGGGAAATGGGAATAAGCTGTTTTACTTGCCTCAATGAGCTCAAGAAAGAAAGGAAAGATCTTTGACTATATATTTTCTTTTTCTCCTAACGACAAGAATCGTCACATACTACCTTGGCTCTTGTATTTCCTATTGATACCAAGGAATCAATAAATTTCACTATAAACTTAGATCTAGTTACGTTGCTTTTAGTATTGTTCTCTAATCAGAAATAGTGTTCACATTCTTATCGGAAAGCAGCACTAAATGCACCTTTAGGAATTATACCTAAGTTTTGAGCTAAATTTCAAGCGTAATACTGCCAAAGAACAAACCAATGAAAATGACAAATGATGCTGCCACCAATTTCATATCAAACGACAAAAGCCTAACCACAAAATTCAATAGAAATGAGGACCCCAAATCAAACACGAGATTTTATTCTGAATTGAGCACGCCACATTTCATAAAACCAAATAACTAAACAACACAAGCGTGAGAGCAAATCAAGGAGCCTCAACTTGGTAAATGGTCAATGGGGATAATTAATGAACACTTAGGAGGCATCACTAATTTCATCGAAAAGAAGAAACCTTTCTGAAAACTATCAATGACTCACAAACTCATCTGTGTGTGTGATCACCCCTTTTCAATCAAAATTTTCTAACCATGTATTCAAAGCATTTTCTGACCATATATTGAATCAAAGCATAAACTTATTACTACAATTGTTGTTATGAATTCAAAGAGAGAGAGAGAGAGAGAGAGAGAGAGAGAAAGGTGATGTTATGAAGAACTCACACTCATCATGGCAAGAACCCACTGATGACGAGACTCGGCGTTAAGGCCAATGACGGTTCTAAGAGGGTTGTGCACGATGTTGTATACAAGCCATATATGGTATGTGAGGAACACCAAGAGACCCGATGGCACCAACACATACTCAAGCTGCTCCTTCTCCATGCCGCCAACACTTTCTTTGGTACGAGGAACTTGGAAGCTGAATAATGTTTCATTCAAGTAAGTATATATGTTCTGTCTGGACTTGACCCAAGTTCAAAACCATCACCATCATCATCATCTCATGATCAAACAAAAAGGGTGAAAGTAAAAAGTGAGTGTCAAACAAAGTGTTTCAACTCAATCAGCATCGTTGATTCACCGGTTACAAAATGGATGTGAACGTGTCATGTAACATATTTGAAGTGTGTGGTCACATGATGGTGTTGTCGCAACTTGCAAGTGGTACTTGTTGATAAGTTGACACGGCCTTTCACCCAAATATTATAATATTGTTGACATAGACACTCAGGCCCAACAGAACAAATATCTCATTTTATTATTTAAAACAAAAACAGATGAAAACGAGTTGTATTTCTTAAACTAACTTTATTTTATATATATTTATCTTCTAAGGGATTATGACTAAAATAAAACTTAAAAATATAAAATATTATTTTATAATCTTAAAATTTTGTTCTATCAAATGTATTCCAATTTGAAGAAAAAAGTAGTAATTAAGATAATAAAGTGGACCAACTCTTTTCATTCTAACTCGGTTAGCAAAGTGAATAACAAATTTTGATTTGTATCATTTACTAGACTTAATAATTAAAAATTATTATATATATATATAAGATTAATTAAAATAAACAATTTAACTTAATTATTGATATAATATTTTATGACATGATACATATGTATAAAAATTAAAAAATAACATACAAATGATCTTCATTTGTAAATATTTTTTTTCAAGTAATTGCTATTTGTTTTATTAATAAAAATCTTATTTACATATTTTTTTAGTTTATAAATGTCATGTTATTAAATGTTACTTTATTTAACTAATTTAAGTATGAGTAAATGTTAATGACTAGTAAATTCAATTTGATGATGATAAAATAATTAAAATTTCATGTTTTTAAAATTAGAAGAATTAAATGTCTTTATTTTAAAAATAGAGAGAGTGAAATTGTGAATTAATAAGCATAAGGGAGCAAAAGTTTAATTTAATCATTTATTTAAATCCTATAACAAAGTGATACTCTATTTAAAAAAAATTATACAATATAAGAAAATTTATACTATAAATTAGATGAGTTGAAAACCTCGAGTTGTTCAACAAAAATATGACTTAGATGGACTGGTTCCATCTTCATTTCAATTTATACTATCAATGTAAACATAGTTTTTTTTTTTAACAGGATCTAAACATAGTTTTAAAGTTATACTTTTTAATGATTTCTAATCAATTGAACGTATAATTTTTATACATTAATAATACTTAAATATTAAATTCTTGCATTAATGATTATAAATATGTTTGATCTTTTAAAATGTATTTTTATTGTTTTTAAAAGAATTCAACTGAAAAACATGTATGAATTAAATATGGTTTTAATTGTTATAAAATATGTGAGTTTTTAATTTTAGTCCTCATATAAAAAATTATTCTTAATCTGTCTAAAATTTAAAATTATTGATTTTGATCTTTATAAAATTAGTAAAATTTAATCTTGATTTTTTTAAAAAAAAAAATATTTTTTCAATCCCTCTAGAATAAAAAAATTTGTCTCTTAACATTAATTATTTTAAAATAAATAAATAATATGTATTTTGAAGATCTAGAAAACTATTAAAGATATTACATGTTGATATTATATATATAAATATAAGTGATTAATCATTATTTTTTATTAAACACAAACAATTAACGAGTATTATTTAACAGTTAATAGTATTATATAATAATTATAAAAACTACAAATAATAATTTAATTACTTTAGGAAAAAAAATTGCAATGATCAAAACTCACTTGTGATATATTAAACACATTATAAAAAAAATTTAAGTAAAAAATATTAATTAACTGTGCTGACTCAGACAGTGACCCATAGCAAATATATTGTCTCTACACGTTATCTGATGGGTACCCTTTCCCGTCTCCCAACTCATTCTCTTACTCTCTCATCATTCATACCATAAAAAGAATATTAAATACAAATAATCTTTTTTTTTTCAATTGTAATACAACTAATCTTATATGACTCACTTATATTCATATCTAAAATGAGTCATATAATTGTTTACTTTGCTAAGTTAATCAACTAGTCTGTTTCTAATTTTATTTTTCATAGTTATAATTTATTTTTTAATTAGATCTCTCATTTTATTTTATATTTTCTCTTAGTCGTAAAAGTAATTATTAATAAGAAGTTTTAATAATATTTTTTCTTCAATTACAAAACCTGTTGTCCATAGATATTAAGAACATAAATTAATCTAAATTACAGAGATACACAATGCATTATTATAAAAGACTTGTTTTATGGTTGTTAAGAACATAAAATAGAGATGTCGATAAATTCTTATTTTAGAAAAGAGGTAACATAGAAAAAAGAAAAAAGATAAAGATAAAGTAACACTAACTCAACTATAATTAATTATAAAATTAAAATTAATTACTTTTAGAAAGTTAGATCATTTAAAATTAAGACAACAACAATTAAATTATTATATCTCATTATAATTAAACTTTAAAATATGTAATTAATAAATTAAATAAATAAATTTAAATTTAAAATAATTTTGTGAATAAATTCATTTTTTAAATATCTCAAAATATAAAATATAAAAAATATAAAAACTCCCAAGCACAAATATACTGGGTGAGTTGACTACTGTGGCTTCAATTCAACATTTTTGTCACGTGGTGGTTGTCTTTTTCCCATTATTATATTCTTTGGCTGCACTTTCTTGTCTTTTTATTCTCTTTTATTAGTTGTTTTTTATACCCATTAACACCTCGATAGGGAAAAAAAAATAAAAATAGAAGAAAGCAAAATAATTGTACCTGCAGTACTCTTGACTTAGATGTGGTGGCATGCATAATTCTCTTCTTTGCTCTGATTGTTCACCTTTCTTGCTATGGAATCCTTTCTATAATATGTATCTGCAAATAATATTCTAGGATTGATTCAAGAGGAAAATTTGGAATTAGGTTTTATTATGCACTATACCCTTTTCTTTTTTACTATATAGCAAATATTATCATTCATTATAGATATATTTTCGGATAATGGGTTGAGCTTGTTTCACTTCTTTTAAGAGATATAATTGTTATTAATTCTATCAATATCTTTTCTTCATATGTAATTTCTTGGCTATGAAGTAGAGCAATTATTTTTCATTAATAACTTAAATGTGTTGGATGTATCATTCGGCCAGGTGTTACACTTTTCCATGTTTTTTTAATGTCGAACACTTAAATTTGCAATTATTATTTTAGCATGTATAATGTAGAAACATGTTTATTATATATAATTAAAATTTTTAATGATTATATATTAATAAATATTATATTTAAATATAAATTATATTTTAGATTTATGATAAATAATTGATATTATAATATTTTTTATTTATTGATAATTTATTTTAAAATATAAATATTTAATTTATGAATAATGAAAAAAAAAAATAAAACAGAATTAAATGAGTAGTTAAAATAACATTACAGATTCTATGATGAAAAAAGAATCTTAAAACATTCTCGCAAAAGTAATAACTTATATTTAATATATAGAAATTAATAAAGATAGTGATTCATGATATAAAAAGAAGTTGATATATTAGAATTGAATTATACTAAACTTCATCATTTTGTAAAATTAGAATTGTAATACCATATTTATGTCCTTAATCTTAACATCAAATCATTAAATTAGTCAAACACTTGTCGTGGTAACAAGGTTGAAAGTTTTTTTAGTTAACTTTTGTGTCGAATCATATTGCATTTTAATCATTTTATTTCCGATTTTGGACTCCGAAAGGAAAACTGAATTAAACTTTCAATGCATTACTGTAAAACTTGAATGAAGTAATTTTAAGGGTTATATGGTATTTAATTTTGTATTTAATATCCATATACAAGGCCTGTTTATTTAAACTTAAAAATAGATATTTTTAAACAATTGTTTTTTTTAAATAATTCTTTAAAAAATAGATAGAAGTTGCTTCTTAAAAAAAAGTTTTAAAAAAAATTGCTTATTTCAACCTTGTTCCTCCAAATGTTAGCCTTACATTAGTGATTCAGATATTTTTATTACGATATTAATCCATCAAAAGATAACATACAATCATATTAATTCTCTAAATATTTTATCACAAAATTAGTTTATCAAATATTTTAAAAGTCATGATATTTATCATTATAGACAAAAATAATGACAAAAAAAGACAATTTTGATAATTATTCAATATCATTAAGAGATTAATTTAATGACAGATTTTTAAACACTTGGTTTTTCATGGAAATAACTTAATGACACATCTTCAAACAAAATATATGATAAATCTGAAGGATCAAATTAAAAATTTATCCTAAATTCCTGCACAAAGATACATTATGTTAAAATAATCAAAACATGAAAGGAATACCTAACTTGAAGGCAAAAGAGATGCAAAAGATGTCATGCAACAGAAAATATTCTTCTTGTCAAAATTTGATTTTGTCAGATATAAACATTCAACAGTTTCTCATACATACAACAAATAATTAGAAATTTATGGCTTTGCTAGCTCGGGTTTTATTTATGGTATCAACACAATATTATACAAAACGAGAGAAGGAAGGAACTAGAAAAGATCAATCCCAGCTTATCTGCAGCTAATGCCTTGATGTGTCTAAGAACTTTTGTCAGTAGCTTTCCCTAAGGAGGTGAAGTTCAACCTGTAAATAAGGAAAATGAGTGGTAAACCAACTAAATTTGACACAGCTTAACCAGAAGATTTAAGGACATGTTTCGATAAGTTTTTTCATAAGCACTTCCAAAGAGAAAAATAGGAATAAAGATTAAAATAAGTTTCTCCATAAACTAAAATTAACTTATACACCAGTTAAAAATAAAATTTTGAAAAAACTAATAGGAAAAAACATTTACAAATTATTAATTTATACTTAAACTAATTTTAACTTATAACGACTTTTTTTTTCCTTTCTTAGAAGTGCTTATGAAGAAATTTATCTAAAGAGACCCTAAATCCAAAACAACTCAGGTCCATTACAAGAACTTATAAATCAAACAAACCATGACAAATACACAATGTTCAACCATTAATTATACTGTTTCTATAGTTTACCTGATAAGGGGCTTCCGCTGTGGCACAGGTGGTGCTGTCGGCTCCGCCAGCTTTGTCAAAATTATAAAGAAAAGGGGGGGTGAGGGAGAAAAGCATTAGTCAGAACAACTTCAATTTCTTAATTCTATTCACCGGCACAAAAATCAAGTAATTTTCACACAATGCCACTGTGTAACAGGAATATAAACTAGGAATGTACAGATTCTCCATAAAACAAGCAGAAAAAACATAATCCAACTTATTAGTTAGCTCGGAGATTAAGAAGTGACGGAAAGAAATGCAAATTCATAATCCTTGTGTAAAAATCATAATTAAACATGCCAAGCCAACTTTGTGCAGCATATAATATAAATCTGTATGGATATCAGATAATTACTTAACAACAAACATAATGACAATTTCTAACCATTTTTGAACCAAACATTATTCAAGAAAGTTATATCATCCAAATTTTATCTAATACAATTAAGAAAAAAAAAACAGCAATAGCTAGAAGCAGCCATACACAGAATGACCAAGTTTTGAGCAACTATAGCAGACAATCACAGCAATAAGGAAAAGCCGGAATCTATGATCTATGTTTGTTGCAGAATGCAGAAGGATTGCAGATGTTAAATACTTATGATTTTTTATGGTATATTAAAAGGTTAACCTCAAGCTCTTCCGAGCCCCAATTTGAGTATAAACGAGTAGCAGAAGTGGTCTCCCGCTTGGGAATAATTGGTTCGCCAGCCACTGCAGTCTCTGAGTTTGAGGAGTCCAAGTTGCTGTTTTTCATGTTCCCGCCTAAATCTTTCACTTGATTTCTGTAATCAAGAATTTCATCTTCAAGCTCATCAGGTTCTTCTGAAAAGGCTTGTTGTGCATCATATGGACTACACATAATCTTCTCAATGGCTAGTTTTTCAGCTTCTTTAGAACTAGATGTATCCATGGCAGTAAGTGTTGCATTAACTTGTAAGTTGGTTCTCACTGATTCATTGGTCTCTATATCCCCAGGACACTCCCCTGAAGATTTCAAATCAGGTTTTTCACTCTGTAGTTCACTCATACTATTGATTTCTGAGTCATTACATCTCACAGAGCAAGAACTAGCAGTGCTAATAGGATTTCCATCTTCATGAACGTCCCTGCTGGAGGGAGGCAAAGATGTAAGGGACTTCGAATTTCTCAAGCTATCTACACTATCTTCTGCTTGTTTTCTCTTCCTATCATCATTTGCTCCTAATACAACCACTTTACCTTCTTGAGACTTTTCTGCTTGACCATGGCCAGAAACACTTGATTCTGAACTTTGCTTACTCTCCCAAGTTACTTTAGATAGGCTGGAAGGTCGAACACCACCAGGAAATACAAAGTTAGGTATACTACGACGTTTCACATGGGAAACATGGATATCCATTCCAGGTTTCCATAGAGTGTACATATTAACAGAATGCTTAAATTCTTCAACAGTTGGTCTTATATCGAACTGTTTACCATCACTGACAGGAACTCCTTGCTTACGTTGCAGTCCCATGAAGTAGGAGCAGTGGAAAGATCTGGATTTGTCTGAAAAGTCACCAGGATGTGGATGACACTGAAGCATGCCATAAGTGTGCCTCTCAATCTAGATGTTTAGAGGATAATTAAATTAGGTTACATATAAAGAAAGAAGAGAAGGAAGAAACAAAACAAGTCAAACAAAGATGTGTGAGAAAGAAAATAAGTCAAACAACAAACACAAACAATTTCTTACTTTCAATGTCAACTGGCGCAGGCGAGACACAACCCAGCCTTTCCATTTTCTAAGGTCTTCAGCATTCTCTGCTGATATGTCTATCTGTAAATAATTCTTATAAGCTTCAAAAAAGGAACAAGGCTCAAAAAGATTGTCCCAATCAGCTTTGTTAGCTTCCATAGCCTACAAATATCAGAGACATAAAATAAAGCAACACAAATATCACAATAAGTATAAAAATCATTGTTAACAAAAAGAGTAATCAGACTTATAGAACATAAGAAAATAAACAACCCTACAAGAAATTGTTGTTCCCCCGATAATGGCATTCAGTCTCATTATGAAAACTTTGATTCAATTAAAGGTATACATTGATAAAAACATAAAGCCAACTCATACCTAGAACTACCCAAACTGGCTGTCATCCAACAGACAATAATTTGCTTCTAGACCAAAGTTTCTAAAATTGAAATTACACTAAATCTGAGGAACAACAAAAGAAATGCAGATCACTGAAGCATCGACTCTAAATTTATCATGTTGTCAAGAGTGGGGACTGAATTTAATAACTGGTTCATATCCATATTTGAACATGGTAACTTTAACTTGAACATCCATTCCAAATCATCTTGAGCAATGTACTGCAGTTAGTGGCATGAAACAAAAAAATGTAACCTCCAACTAAAACTTGTTTCAATATTTAGACTTCATACACTGAACAAAGGCTACAAATATCTGACTGAAAGTCAAGCGTAGGTAATAATATATTAGCTCCAGAATACTAGAGGACAGTGAAATAGTGATGGAGAGAAAAACAAAAGACACTACAATACCAAAACCATAATTGGGAGAAGGAAAAACACAATCCTAATGTCAAGAGAGGTCATGGAGGTTAAATGAGTCAAGGAACACATTTGAAAGCTTGGCCATGGAATTCTGTCAAAACTTGTTTAAGGTAGAAATCATGGAGACAGAATTATAATGCAGTGTACTTTTCCTTCATGCGGAATCAGGGGATGTAAATTCATAAGCCTAGACCCACAATAAAGAAGGTTTATATTAGGAGAAATAGTGGTTCAGTAGGGGAACAAAACCCCTATAGTTGTAACTGATTATTAGTTAGCGTTAACTATAAGAGGTTATTGTAATCAAATGTGGGATGGTGAATAGATAGGAGTGGGAAATTAGAGATAGCTACCAAAATTGTAAAGAATGAGAGAATTGGGAGAGACGCTGGACTTCTCGAATTATCAAGTTATACAGAGATTCATTCTGTACAGAGACTTCCCTGTTTCAAGACTCTGACCACATTGGTACAGGCTTGATTTATGGTTCTCTTGAAAACGATTCACTTCTTATTCTGTTTCCAGTTTATCATAAATATATCCTTGATAAATTTATTGCAGTCATAGAGATATTGAAGAAAATCTTTTGACAGGCCCAATTAAAGCCCTTGGAAAGGATGGGCACCCTGCCATTTTCTTTAAAGAAAACTGAGAAGTGGTGGGTAACTACATTACAATGCTGATTTGCAGTCCTTAGGAAAATCACAATCCTAACAAGAAGGTCCACAAAAACACTGCTTGTAATCATCCCCAAAAACTGGTGCTTCTGGATTCATCACCCAATTCTGACCAAATGCTCTCTGCAATGAATTCTACAAGGGAGCGTTTAGTACACGATAAATTTTTTCTTGCTTGAGAATCGTGATTCCAAAGAATCATAAATCCTAACAATCATGATTTAAAAATCTTTTTATTGGTCATAAATGTTCCTGGGAATTTTTTAAATGTTACTTGAGAATCAAAGAATTTTACTCCATTAAATAAACAAATAAAAGTAACATGATATTTTTACAGAATTAAAAAATTATTTTTACCACAGGAAGGATAGTTTTCCACCTCCCGGTGAAAATATTTTTGTGGAAAACTTATATCAAAAACATTCTTGGAAAACATTGTTTCCTAGGAATGTTATTTTAAAATAAAAAAGCAAACGCAAGAAACTAACATTCAGATTCCTAGGAAAGTCTTTACAAAAAAAAAAGATTCCTAGGAAAGTAAAAACTTTTTGTGTACCAAACACTTTCTAAAGATAAAGCTGTTGAGCATCGGGGGGTTACCACACATATACACATGTCTCCACATTGGTTTGATATTGTTCGCTTTGGAACTAAGCCCTCACGGTTTTGCTTTTGGACATCACCCAAAAGGTCTCTCATACAATGGAGACAACTGTGTGTATATAAACTCATGTTCATCCTCTGTGACCCCACAGAGCTCACTCACGCTCAGAGTGCTTGCGCCGCCGCTCTATCGTGACCTCCCTCATGGGTTTATATACACACAATTATCTCCATTGGTTGAAAGACCTTTTGGATGATGTCCAAAAGCAAAATCGTGAGGGTTTGGGCCCAAAGCGGACAATATCTCACCAATGTGGAGACATGTGTATATGTGTGGTAACCCCCTCAGTGCTCAACAAAAACAATCCTCTCTAAAAGAATTTAAGGAATGTTTGTTTTTATCCAAGAATTTTCCCAAGACACAGGTGGTTTCTGAGGGATACCTTAGAGAAAACTTGTCACACACAAGTTAGAACTACAAAATTATCTTTAGGCATGTCATTGAGAGGGTAAGATGCAAGTTGAGCAGGGGGAAGACACACTATTTAGCTATGGCTTCAAGAGCCCCTTCACCATATATGCAATGCCCATGTGACATGATTCATGCTGTTCCTCTCTCCTCGTGATTCTGAGGGTGAAGAACTGAAGACTGGTTTGGCCAGGCACCTGGGCTAAAACACAAATGGAGAATTACCCATTTTAAGTGCGTACTACTACTTGGCAGATTCGCATGAAGAAAAAGAAAACAATAATCACTAGAATAATATATGGAAATGGAATGGTATGGACCTCAAAGAATCAAACCATTCATTTTCCAAACATCACACAGTAGACTGCTCACTTCCCTAACACTGTCAGATGGTTCTCACGGTACAAGTCAGTCAAGAGATCTCTGAACATGTCTTATGTGACTGCCACCTAAAAAATATGGATTAATTTGGCAGCCTCTTTTAAAATTAGCTCTCCATCTCTGGTTGCATAAAAAGTAGATTGATGGGAATAACTTAACCTTTAGATGGGAATATAATTGTATGAGTTCTAGATAGCACATATGAAAATGGAGGTGTCAAGAATTGTTATACAAACAAACATTATGATATTTTAGAGACACCATGTAGCAGACAGGACCATCAAAGAGGCTCATTCTGGTTACAACATGAGACCAAAAAGTTTTGGTCAATGTTAGATGGAGTCCTCTTTATCATGGACAGATCAAAGTCAATACTGGTGGATCCTCTAAAGGTAAACCTGGGGTCCTTTTGGGGGAGGGGGGGGGGGGGGG